CCCAATAGAGCAACGGACGGATAAAGCTCCTTAAACTCTGTGTTCCAAGACAGAGATCAACATTCCTCAGCGGAATCCTCCTCAAACAACAAGAACGAGAATCCCCACAAAGGAGTATCTCATGAAATCAACGGTCTTCTGGATGGCATCTTTAAGCCCATCTCAGACAGTCTCCTGTCACCTTTTCCAAATGGCATATGTAAGCCCATTCCCAATATTATTCAGCAGCAGTATCACTTCAGACGAGTGTAAATTTCTGGGCACTCTAGTGTTCAATCATCTTCCACCTTCAGATCATGAAAGGCAGACAACCAATATACATCTTTAGGTTTAAGAAGATTGAACAGGGGCAGCTGTGGTACCCCAAAATTTTCCTTGTCACTTTTTACAAGATCTTCTCTCACATGGGTGGATACAAACACTTGCTTAAAGAAAAAATAAAAAATTTAGAAGTTGGTCAAAGTGTCCTTCGATAAGGTGTCTTTCGATTGGCATCTTAACAATGTCTTTTCAATTGGCACCTGAATAAGGCCTATCGATAGGCCTCATGTCCAAGCCCTTCGATTGGCATTATGGCCAGGCATTTCGGTTGGCATTCCAAAAGAAGCTTTTGATTGGCCTCATGGCCAAGCCCTTCAATTGGTATGGTAAAGAATCCTTCAATTTAGAATTTCAAACAAAGACAGCTTCGACAGGCATGATAACCAAGCCCTTTGATTGGTATGGCCAAACACTTCGATTGGAATTCCAAAAGGTCCATTCGAGGAAGCCTTCAGAGGACCCATTCGAAGCATGCATAAGAGGTTCATTCGAAGAAGTCTTCAGAAGGCCCATTCGAAGCATACATAAGAGGTTCATTCGAAGAAGTCTTCAGAAGGCCCATTCGAAGCATGCATAAGAATTCCATTCGAAGATGCATTCAGAAGACCCATTCGAAGGAGGCTAGCAGCCCATTCGAAGGAGAGCATTCGAAGGTCAGTTACACAATAGAAAATTTAAAATGGACAAGATCCAATGTATTTGGCCAACGTTACAAAATCCTACTCATGACTTTCAAACATAACCAAGGTTATTTAAACCCTTGCCTTCTTTCCCCCTCTACCTAAAGAGATCACAAGTGTTGTCTAAAGGGGAGGAGAACGAAAAAACCTTGGAGAGAGGCTGCCCACAAAATCCATCAAAAGTTGCCTGAATTTACCAAGCAGCAGCCACGTCCAAAAGCCCCAGATCGAAGGTGCTCACCTCCAGCAAGCACCCCAAATCGAAGACTCAATCTACTGGTAAGAAAGGGTAAACTATCCAACTTTGCATTTGCATAATGCATCATTACTAGTTGTTACCTACGATTTGCCATCCTAGACAGGATCAAAAGGCCTGGGTTTGGCACCCATGTCATGTTCTTCGTTTGCTAACATTTGCTGCAGACATAGCCTGAAGAGACCCAACAAGAACATGATTGAAGGGCCTGGGGTCCGATACCCAGGCCCTGCATTTATTTTGCTAAACATATTTTTGCAGGTATAGCATCCCAGATCGAAGGAGACACCTTCTTTGGATCGAAGCTGCCTGTTAACCTGCTGAACCGAAGGAGGAACTTCCTTCTTGAATCGAAAGAAGGAATCTTTCCCAGGATCGAAGGGAAATCCCCTTCCCTGGATCGAAGACTATTCATGCCCACTTCCTGGCCCAATCGAAATGACCATGGCCCTCTCTGGATCGAAGCTTTCATTCCCTCCCTAGGTCGAAGCTCCTTTTTTTCCCTGAATCGAAGGATCCCTCTTGAATTTTATTTTTGTTTTCATTGACTTCATTTTAATTAACATTGAAATTAAAATCACAAAAATATTAGTCTAGTTGTTTTTTCCAATTAAATTAATTTTTGTAAATAAGTTAGTTAATTATTTTAACATCTTTTTTTATTAAAATTAAAATTAAATAGACTTAGGTCTTATTTTCTTTTATAAAAAAAAAAAAAATAAATATATATATATATATATATATATATATATATATATATATATATATATATATATATATATATATATATATATATATATATATATATATATATATATATATATATATATATATATATATATATATATATATATATATATATATATATATATATATATATATATATATATATATATATATATATATATATATATATATATATATATATATATATATATATATATATATATATATATATATATATATATATATATATATATATATATATATATAACAAAAGATTTTCTTTTACTTTGCGCATGTTCATTTAATTTTTGTATTATTATTATTATTTTATCTGCCTACCGGATGTAATAGATAAATTAAGATTTTTATTGCTTTTATTCCCCATTATCCTTGTATAATGTAAACCCCCTCCCCGAAGCATTGTAATAACGTAGGACCTATATTTTCCGCACTTTCTTTTTACTCCTTTTTATATTAACTGTTTATAATTAGACATGCATGGCAAAAATCTAAAAACAAACGGTAGAACACCTAAATGTTTAAAGATAAAATAATTGAAACACAACACACTGGCACATATACACCTCTAAGATACGCCCACTTTGGTTGCCTTTAAAAAATAGTCATGAGGTAGGAATGCTTTAGAAAAGACCCGTAAAAATCAAAAGATCATAGTCCCTCAATGACCCTACAGTTGCCTTATCGGTAAATTATCTAGTCCCTAAAACACCGAATTGCTAAAGCATCTCCATAATTGCCTTCGTGACTGTAACGTCCCTTCGATTGTCCCTCAAAACATTCAACGATAAGGCTACCTACTCATTAATAGTAGGATAGAACTGTCTAAAGGAAAAGATGAAAAGAATGATCCTTTTTGAGTAATAAAGCAGATAACTGTTAGAAGTTTGCTCAAAAATACTTTTTTGAACTTACACAGAAAACCACTTTTCAAAAACAATTTCAAAACATTTGCTTTGTTAACATTCTTGAGGACCGATACAAGAGTTAAACACAAAGAAAATCGCCGTACTAAGGCATCTTGCTACACATTTTCAAACACAAAGCACAAAAGCATTTTGAAAAATGAGCAAACCTCTAAGAGCCCGTGGAAAACCACAGATGGAAAGGGTGCTAACACCTTACCTTTCCATAATCTACCCCCTTACTCAGAAAACATATCGAAAAGGTCTTTTTCTGTTCTTTTCACCCTTTCCTTTGTTTGATAAAAGAAAAGACGGTGGTGACTCTTGCTTACCGTGACATTTGCAAATACGAAACACAAACCAACATATTAAACAGTCGATTCTGCCACCGTAAAACAATAACCTTATTTTAACTTTTACATCTTATAGTTTGCTTTATGCATCAAAAGTAACTACGAGTCTTATCATATTCCGGCATAAGTTTTCATTCCCTATGTCTAATTTTCAATCGTCAGACCTGTCCTTCAAAGGTGAACAATTTTTCCATTTCAACTTTTTTTCCATTTCTCTCTTCGGTTTCTCCATCTCCCCATTTTGGGGTTTCATCTCTCTCTTCTACTATCTTTATATTTCTCTTCCAACATTCTTTACTTCTTATTTTCTACTTCTTATCTTCCTATACCTCCATTATTTATTTACTTCTTATCTTCCTCTACCTCCATTATTTGTTTACTTCTGATTCATCTTATAATATGCTGGATTTTAGATCTCCCTTTGTGGTGAAGAACATAAGGCGGGTATGGGTTTGGAAGCTATTTCTGGATTGTTTTAAGCATATCCTATATTGGAAGAAATTTTTAAGGAAAAATGTTCCCACCAGTGAACATGTCTCCTTCTCTCATTGATGATACTGAAAGGATTAACAGACAAGGTCGCATGTCGGTATCAAAGCATATTATTTTGATTTTCGGTTTTTTGTTGTCTTTTCTTGTGTTGCTTTCTTCTCAGATATCTGCTGAGGAACCAAACCTATTTTTATTAACCTTGATCGAATTTTTTCTTCATTAACCTTGATTGCGTTTTAACCCTAAAATATGCAGAGTTGATTTAGATGGAAGATGGTTTGATCCATTCTTTGAGTTCTTGGATGCATTTATGCAGGAGGTTAAAGAGATCACAATAGGTTATGTGACTTTAAAATTATATAATGGACTTTATTTCTTATTTATAGTGCTTTGCATTTTGTTATCCTGTAATACTAACTAAAATAACACTGCTTGGCATTGCATCAAGAAGACCATTGTTGTGTCTTTATGGGGTAATCTTGCATAGTACAAGAATATGAGTATCATTTCTGATCCAGCAAGTTCCCTTATACTCCTTGGAAGAGTTCTTTGTGCAAAAAGTTCTATGTTGTTCCAATTTATTTGATTTGAATTACTATGTCAAGATTTCACATACATGTTCAACCTTATCGAGTCTTGACTGCCAATTGCATTGAATGTCATAATCTATTTTGTTTAGGCATTGCTTTATAATTACAACTGTTAAGAAGTTCAGAATATTGAACGACTTAGGTGATGATGCAATTAAATTTTGAGTGGAGATGAGATATTGTTTAGATTTATGTTAGGTTGACGCTGGGACATGTTTTAGAATCAAGTATTGAGTTGCAGATGCTTGGTAATTATCTTGTGTTTAGAGTATGGGGTGGTTGATATTTTGTGTACCAAATGTTTAATATGTTAGTTTGATTAATCTATTATAGTATTTTGTTGGAGCAATACTAGTGTATTATGTGCTTTAGATAATAAATTATTTAGAATTTTTTTTATAATAAATTATTAAATAATAGGTGAAAAGGGGTGACATTCCTGGGATTTAGATTTGCACAGGGGCACCTAGTGTGTCCGATCTGCTTTTTTCTAACGACTGTTTTTTATTTTGCATGGCCAAGGTATCGAAGGTGAAAACTCTTATGAGTCTTCTAAAAATTTACGCGGAAGAGTCAGGCCAAGAAATTAGATGATGAAGTCCGATGTTTTCTTTAGAAATAATTTGAGTAATTTGGCTAAAGAATACCTTGCAGGTATTATGGGAGTTTGCCATGTTCTGGGCACTGGTGCTTATTTGGGGCTGCCCTCGATGATTGGAAGGAGTAAAAAAGCACCATTTCTTATATTAAAGATCGGATATGGAAAAGGATAAATTCTTGGAAGGGGTGATCTTTATCCAACGCTGGGAAAGAAGTGATGATTAAATCGGTCTTACAGGAAATTTTGGCTTATGTTATAAGTATGTATATTATTCCCGATGGAGTGATTGATGATATTTAAAAAATGTTGAATTCTTTTTGGATGGGGGAGGTAATAATAACCGAGGAATAAGGTGGATAGCATGGGAGAAGCTTACTTGTACTAAGAAGGAGGGTGGTTTGGGGTTCCGAGACTTGAGAACTTTTATCATGGAAATGGTGGCTAAGCAGGGGTGGTTTCTCATGTCTAAACTGCATGCTCTTGTTTCCAGAATTTTCAAAGCAAGGTATTTCCCTAAAACATCTTTCTTTGACGCTAATATTGGATATAACCCAAGCTTTATTTGGAGGGGTATTTGGAAGGTTAGAGAAGTATTAACTTTAGGTTACAGGTGGAGTATCGGTGGCGGTAGTAACATCAAGGTGATGAATGAACCTTGGCTCCGTGGTGGAGAAGGGGAGTGATTGAAAGGACCTCAGAGGCAAGGTGCGTATAATATTACTGTTAATAATCTCATGCTAGAAAATGTTAACCAATGGAATATTGGATTATCACGTGACATTTTTTTATACAATGATTGAAAATATTATCCAGGTTTCGTTAGTGGACGAAGTAACAGAAGATTTGTTGGTTTGGAAATAGGAGCAAAATGGTTGCTATAGTGTGTGATCGGGGTACAGAGTTTGAAGGAATGCGCGGAAACAAAATTCTTAATTAGGATGTTCCGATAAAATGGAGTTGCATTTGGAACATTAAAGCTCCTGCTAGAGTTAAACATATTTTATGGAGAATTTTTCACAATTGTCTTCCATCTCGAGTTCGACTTCGACAACATCATGTTCAGTGTCCGGGTGAGTGTCCTTTTTGTGATAATAATTGGGAAGATTCTTGGCATTTTTTCTTTAGCTGTTTTGACACAAATCAATGTTGGTGGGAAGCAGGATTAAATAATGTTATTGATCACTGTCTATATTCTTTTCAAGATGTAAAGTCGATTATTATTGATATTTTTAACAAAGACGATAGAAATATTGCCGGTAGAGTTGCTGTGATTATGGATATTATGTGGAAAAATAGAAATCTATTTATATCGAACAATGAGAAGGAGGATGCGTTGAAGCTTGGTTGGTTGGGTTTTCATAAGTGGCAAGAATGGTTCGAATCTCAACAGAAGGAAGGCGAAGCTTCCAGGCAGCAAGATGAAATGTGCTGGCTTCCACCATCTTCTGGGTGGAATAAGTGCAATGTAGATGCAGGTTTCAACAATAATTGTGGGACTTCAAATCGTGGTTGGTGTGTTCGTGATAAATTAGGAAACTCTATTGTAGCAGGTGTGGCGTGGGATCTTGGGAAGTGTCATACCCCAAATTTTCCCTACCCTTATATTTATATTTATTTTTCTTTTTGAATAGGTCACATTATTTAATTCTTGTTTCCAGGGGGGAGTAAGATATGAAAATGGGTGTATAGATGTAAAATGGACTATCAATATCTGATGGCCCATTAGGCTTTAATAAAAGTCCATTTCAAACGAAGGGAGGTGTATTGTTTAACCAAGGAGGTATGAACAAATTGTTTTTTCAATAAGGCCCATCTAGGTTTTGGAATATTTAAAAAATAGGATGTATAAAAGCAATATGTTTCTTTGTTAGAAGCCCATATGAATTAAACGTTTTTTGGCCTATCGAGTTATAATTGTTTCTTTGTTAGAGGCCCAAATGAATTACATTTTTAAAACTATCGGGCCCAGTAACTAAAATACAGTACAGACCATTCAGTTTGTGTGTTTTAAAAAAATTGTCTTTATTTTAACATTATTTTTATCTTATAATTATTAATTATTATTGTTGATTAGTTTTTAGAACTTAATAAAAAAAGAAGAAAATTGTGTTTTAGTTTTTTTTAAAAGTGTTAATAAGAAAGTTTTTTTTACGTGGATCTTTCGAAGCCCAAGTGTGTAGTCAAGAGGGTCTAATACATTTTCCAATCCAAATCCAGAGATTGCTTGTCCAAAATAGAAACAAGTATTATGGAAATTTAATCAGAAAAAACACGTGCGTTAAATGAACATATATTGTTTCATCAAACCAGTATCTTGGCATTTTCAAAACGGTTTTTTTACTAATTCAAAGAACCAATTACAGAAACAAAATCAACAAAAACATCAACAAACGTCTACATTTAGAACTCAATCAATACAGAACAATCATAGAAACAAAATCAAACTAATGATTTCAATTAATAAAAATCAATTACAATTAAATTATTAGACAACATAACTCGTTTCTTAATCTATCTAATCCCTAATTCAATAATTTCCTAAACTAAAAAACTTAATTACTACGAATTCAAATTTACAAGACAAACTTGTCTCCTTCCTAATTTGCAATTTCTAAAAAAAAATTCTATAAAAGCCTAATCTAAATCTACAGAAAGGAGGGAAAAAAGAGGAATTACAGTAAGAAAAAGAGAAATTATTGCAATAAAAAAGACTAATAATTGGGATTCTTTACTGAAGGTCGCATTGTCGTTCATTGCCTCGTTCAGGATTTGGGTTTCAAGATCCGAAATCCTAAATCAGTTGCAGTTGTCGTTGCTTCGACCTCCATCACCGCTATCACTGTCCTCACCATCCTCCGTCACCTGCGAAAACGAGAGAAAACAAAGAAAAGGGATTAGAATTGAATCAAGACAAAACTCTGAATCGGCAAAAGAGGATTTTAGAATAAAGAAACAAAAAATAAACAAGAGGAATCAACGCTTTTCTTCTGAACAAGTTTTCGTTTCTTTCTCATTCTTTTTATTTTAGGGTATTGTTTCCTAATATAGCTCTTTTTATTTTAATTGTAATAATAATAATAATAATAATGTTTGTATAAAGGTTTGTTAAAATTAATGATAAAAGTTAGAAGGTTTTAGTAGGAAATCATGAAATAGGGTGCTCCCCACATGCATGCAGTATAGATTTTTTTAATTCATTTATTTACTTTAGTAACTAGAAAATTTGATTAACTTATGTTATTTAAGGATGCAAAATTCCAAAATGTGATTCTATATATTTAATTCAATGTAAACCTTATAAATAATTGTTTTGCATAAAATCAAACTTTATAATTTTTCAAATTTAATATTTTACATCAAAATATTAAAACCAACGCCAATAACAAATTACTACATCTGCGAGTAACATGTGGCCAATATCTGGCCACGTGATGAGGAGACTATATCAGACTCCCTCGCTCTACGTATAAAAAATATTCAACCAAACACCAAATATTTTTTCGCAAATTAAATTAATTTAAACAATTAATTTTCGAAAAGGAACGCAAATATATTTTAATTAACTGCGTACATGGTCTAACAAACTTTGTTATTCATACTCTTAGACCACGTATGTGGGAAATTCAAATATATTTCGCGATCCATAAAAAACACAAACAACTCCGTGAGCTACAAAATGGGACTCGGATTCCTCCTAAGAGGATGCGTAGGCATACGATTAAAATCGTGGCGAGTCCCGCTAACTAAAACTCAAACCCTTTTCCCCTAAGTAAAATTCAAACCCTTTTCCCCAATAATAATTAAGAACCCTATTTTCTAAACATCGCGCTTCTAAACATGGTATCCTTGTGAATAAGGTAGATAAGGGGTGCCTAACACCTTCCCCTCGTCTAGAACCGAGTCCAAATCTAGAATCTCTGAATTTTAGGGTTATTCCTTTATACTCCATTCCTTTAGGATAAAAATTAATGGTGGTGACTCTAATTTAAAAACCAGTTGCAACAGCTGGGGACTCAACCATAGGTTTAGAAGCCTTATCTTTCGACTTTAGGGTTTTTATGGTTTTTCTTATTTCTTTTAGATTTTATTATTTCTTGTTTAATTATTTATTTATTTTATTGCTTATTTTTTTATTATTCAATATGTTTATATATTTGATGTGGGATTTATAATTTTGCAAATTTATTCTCAAAAAACCTTCGAAAGAAGGTTTGTCTATTAGCCAAGGGGTTACATCAACCCTATGAGTTTATGTGATGACTTCGCCTAGAGTCGATGGAGTTCTGCAAAAGGAATACCTCTTGAGAGACATCCTCTTGGGAAGTAGGACTTTGAAATAATACTTATGACTCTTTGTAAGGCCTTTAAACCAAAAATTCATGATGAGACCTTTCATGAACTAGAGACGAAAATTTCGATCTGTAAAGAGACTCCGCTTAAGGGAGGCCCTTGTGCCTTTCCCTCTAGTGTCATTCATGATACCCTTAAGGAAACCACCTTATGGGGAGGGTCGAATACTCGTAGGCCAATACTAAGAACCTACCTTATAAGGATACCTTTCACAAATCCCATTACAATCTGCAAACCCGCAAGGGTTATCCCTTCATTCACTACTATCTCTAGCCCGTAGGGCTTCCATCTTTATCATCATCCATGTGCTGTAGGGACTTCTCGTCGTCTTTCATTAGGCCATAATCCTCAAAAAATTCCTACGTGTCTCAATCTCTGAGATAATGTAGGACATCATCAAATCTATGCCTATTATCACCTTCGTCCTTAAAGAGTCCCTTCCTGTCTCGATCTCTGAGATATTGTAGGATATTATCATTTCCATCATTAAACTTGTATATGGTACCCTCATGTTTACCTTCATATTACGTCCATGTCGCATTGCATTTCCATGAAAGTTTAAGCATACCCTTAAAGCCAAAAATATTTTTGCATACCCATGCATTTACATACATTCATACGTTTTCATCTCATGTATTTCCACCTTCGCCCTTTATTATCCATATGCTATCTGATTTCTCGGTACTCGCAAATGAACTTAAGAAAATCTGAAATTATGGAAGAAGGAGATTATATACTAGAGACTCAATGGAGCTTGGTCTTACAAGTCTTATTGGAGAGATAAGGCCGCCCTTCACCATGACAAACTACAGGCCTACACATCGCCTCAAATGCCCCTACCATTGGTGATTCCTCTACATCAAGAGCAATTGTATTATCAACGAAATAAGTATTCCCACGAAAAGTCAAGGGTCATCCCCATGATCTGACAAGTCCAAAAACTACGAAGCATCTCCTAAAGTCAATGGATCAACAAGAAGGCTTATCTCTAGATCATAAGGCTTTAATCATTTCAAATTGTAATTTTTTTCTTGCTAAGTGTTATTTGTCATAAACTTTGTACTCTTTGGTCAAGTAATTCTAATAAAATAAGCATGCATGTTTTTTAAATCGATTCATTCCACAAATAATCAACGACTTTCTATTCTTATCTTATTTTTCCATTTTTCACTTCAAAAAACTTCGATGGAGAATGATGAAAATACAAAATTATCGAATTTTGATGACGTGTGCTTTTTAACAGTAAGGCTTAGCTAACGATGTATGGAATTGTTTCACTTCCTAAACAGTGGATATATAAGGAGTTAATCTGTAGTTAACCCCCTCAAGCCAG